TTGGTTTCATTTTTAAAAAATGAAAAGCTATTTACTTTAATTTCCTGCTTCAAATGGGTTTCAGAAGAGCCATCAATTATAGAGCCATAGATCTTTAAAATGGAGCATCACGCTGAGCGATTCTCTGTGATGACCATCTCCACACTGAACAGTATAATATGATACCACAAGTTTGTTTCACCATCAGGCTGACAGAGCACGAAAATATATTCAACGTGCCAAGAACTTTGGCAATGCAGCACGTCCTACACATCCACTTGCTTGGTTCAGAAGGTATTGGAGTGGAGACAATAACTAATACTGTGGCTGTATTACTGTACTAGCTACACACTTCTTTGCATACATAATTTCAGACATTTGAGTCTAAACAGTTGAATCATGACATCTAGCTTGTTATTGAATATGGCAATGTTAATGTATTTGGTCTTGGCGGACTATCTGCTACACTGTTGCTGCAGAGCAAGTATAGACTTGCTATACTGCCGATAGATACTCAGACATGCTGCCGTGAGCATGTTACATATTCTGCTGATGCTGCATAAATATACGTATATAAGTCCCGTAGAAGATAGGCAGGTGGAGCTGGGGGAGGTGGAGGTTCTCAAGAGGAAGTCTGGTAGCGTGCTGTAGGACTAGCTTACAGCAAACAATTAAACAGATTATTTAAATGTTAAGCAAGCAATCTCATTGGCTGAAGGATCAGCAGAGGCCAATCAGCTTGTGCCATGCGGTGATGATGTGATTGCTTATAGACTGCATGTAGAGTTTCATGACTGAACTTGATATTAATAATAATGCACAATTTACAGAAAAGATTTATTTACATTTGTCAAATTAATAGAAGTCAATATTTTTAGATAATAGTTTACACGTTTTTAGTTGTCATAGTATAAATGGGTCTTTATGCATTTAAACGGCTGCTTATTTGTATTTTAGGAAGGGTGTCCCTCACAAGGGGATCATAACAGTTAGGGGTTCAAGGCACCAACATATATATTCCAATAGGAGATTCTTAAAGATACTTTAAAAATACTGTAGTGCACAACACAAGTTTTTAAAAAAGACTGCAGTGATGCATTTAGTCTGTTGTTATAGTCGTGTGTACTATTGGGTCAACTGAATTCAGTCGAATACTATTGAATCATCTTCACTGGTCTAAAATGACTCGGTCTCAACTGCCATGACTTTGTGCGGTCATTAGCAAAAATAAATCAATAATAATAATTTAAAAAAGGATCCATTTAAACCAAATTGCAAGAGAGAAGTTGGAAAATTGTCAGGTTTTTGGAACAAAAATGTCCAGGCTTTTTTAACAATGCATCTTTTGTGAACAACTCCTCATTCTGTGCTGTCAGAGTGGATTGGTGAGGCACGACGACTGTCATTTATATCTCACAATTCAGACTTCTATCCTTGCAATTCCAAAAAGTTTACCACTCACAAGTGTGAGAAAAGTCAGCATTGTGAGATGAAAAATAACAAATACCTTTTTTTTTTCTTTTTTTTTTTTACCCGGGAAGCAAGCTTTCATATGAAATGCTCTATTGGCAGGAAAATTCCTTAATGGCTTATTTATAGCTTACAGAGTTGGGACAACTTTTTTTTTTTTTTTTTTTTTTTTTTTTTGCATTGTGTGTTAAAGCTCCAGTCCGTAACTTTTTTAAGTTAAAAATAATCCAAAATAATTATATTAAAAAAAACTTATTCTGCCAGTGGTCAAAACTATCTGCTTGCCATAGCTAGATTCAAAACGGTTAGCTTGTAATAATGATTTTAATTCCAGTGGTACTGGTGGGTTTCCGCGGGAAATTCGAGCATGTCTTTGCGTCATTACGTCACACCCGTACACATAAAGAAGGAGTTTCGGCTAGCCGGCTATACTGCGCGTGACGAGATGTTTAGATGTATAGGCTTTTCTCGCAGCACTTTGCATGATTAAACTTATGGCGGATCCAGAAAGATCCAAACAACAATCATCAGTGTCAACTGGAGATTCAGCAGTTATAAAACCCAAAAGACTTCATACTTCGGATTTAAGGTGGCTAGAGAAAGAGAAAGAAACCGTCTCATGCGAACACAAGGATTTAACATCGGCGGGGCTTTTGAAAAGTGCATGAACTCCGTGTTTTGAAGGGGTTCGAAACGGAAGAAGAGACGGCTTTTTTCCGCTGAACAAGTAAGACATTTCAATAGTTCAATCGTGTAACAGTAACACACAGTTATGGAGTTTCCTTTGTTGTGCCTTTCTCGTTTTGCTATTATGGAGAATTTGAATTCTGAACTACGCAGGTAGCTGCTAACCATAAAACACATTAAATTTAACATTAGTCACGCAATGCTGATGTTGTTAACATGAACAATTTGAGAACAAAGTAGGCTATAATTTGCACGGTTGCTGTAAATCGTGTTGATTAAATCTAACGAAGCTTATCATGTCGAATGCTTTTTCCCCCTTAGTTGGTCAGAACAAAAATGGATTTTACTTACTTGTTCAGAAGACATTTTCTTATGAAAATTCTTATGTTGGTCAAACTTTCAAAAAGTGAATCTGTGATTCTGTATGACAGTATCCACACAGCGCGGTGACTGACAGCAGCACTCGCCTCAAAACACTGTGTTCATCCGCACTGTTTCATGCCGATTTACAACCCACGTAAAGATGATAATTCCGCGAATCACTGCAGTTACAGATTTCGAACAGAGAGATGGCGACAAAGAGGAAAAGATACGGACTGCAGCTTTAATTATTTAACTAAATAAATGAATGGACAAAAAAGTGGTTGCATTTACTACTAAAATAAGCATGAGATAGTAATATCCATAGGGTATGTTTCATCATGAAACATGGAAGATTTAGCAAGATTCAAGCATGTGGTCAGAGATATCCTCTATCCTGAGCCTACAGTGAGTGACCAGTGAAGAGAGCAGAGAACCCGCAGAGACAGAGAGTAAAGTGAGAGAGAGTGATAGTTGGATGAGAAAGACAAGGAAATGAGGGACTAAGAGAATGTAGAGAGAACCGAGTGAGAGATCAAAGCAGAGAACACAGCTCTGTTGTCATCATGTTTAGACAGCATCATGTGACCAGTTGGAAGAGCTCATTAGTTACTCTACCCACAGGTTTAAGCCATGATCATATCCATCAGCTCTGCTTTTAAAAGATGATAGTTAGTTATCAAGAAGGAATTCATCTTATTCTTTGTAAAAAAAAAAAAAAAAACAAAAAAAAAAACCTGAATATATATATATATATATATATATATATGGTGTATTTATTTAGAAACAAATTTACTCAAAAATTGCTAGTCAATAATCACAAAGATATTATTACCATATTTTCTTTTTTTAATATATTTTAAAATGTAATTTATTCCTGTGATGGTAAATTTGAAATCATGTGATTCTTCAGAAATCATTTTAATATGCTGATTTGATGCTCAAGAAACATTTATTATTATTATTATTATTATTATCAAAGTTGTTCCACCTAATATTTTTTGTGAAAACCATGATACACTACATACCATTCAAATGTTTGGGGTAAGCTTAAAAAAAAAAAAAAGCTCCAATAATAATTGATAATTAATTAGCAGCAAATCAGCATATTAGAATGATTTCTGAAGGATCATTTGACACTGAAGACTAAAGAAATTATGCTGAAAATTCAGCTTTGATCAAAGGAATAAATTACATTTTAAAATAAAACAGTTATTTAAAAGCTTCTTTTAACCTTGATGAGAATAAGAGACTTCTTTCAGAATCATAAAAATCTTAATTAATTCATCAATGTCAGTAAACAGGAGATTTTCACACTTAAATCTTACATCTCTTTGCAGAGTAAAAAATAAATAAATAAAAATAAGACAGTAGAAATACAGCTGAGGAAAAAACAGTCAGCCAGAAAGATCTAGAAGCTCTCAGTAGAATACAAAAATATCCAAATTAAAATGTGATGTTTTTCCAGTTTTAAATCTCTGTAATAACTTCTTGTAACACACTGGGAAACACTAAGAAAGCTCAATTATGACTGGGATATGATATGTATTATGTTAGGATGCCAACAGACGCATTGTAAACACAAGCCTATGAAGATATGAATGGCCTTTAGGCATATAAGTTAACATTCAAAAGCGAAGCAGTTTTAAACTCGTTTATGCAATCTTAATTAACCCGGACATCCCAAGGCTACTCTGTTCATTTCATTAATTTCCTAACATTATGAAAATGAACAATAAAATAAAAGAGGTTAATTTTTTGCACATGGTTTCTGGAAGCACTTCTATTCCTAGAAGAAATCATAAACACAATATTTGGCTAATCAAATTAGTTTAAGGGGGTCAGCTATACTCTCACATATGAATTTGCATAATTAATCAAGTTGTGACCCTCCAGTGGATTTGGACGGCATCTTTACTCATGTTTGAGAGAAGAACCACATGCAAATGAGAGTTTTTGTAACCCCCATACTGAGTATGATACTAAAATAACATTGGTTTCCACTATCAATTTATGGAAATTGAATGTCTCCATAAAGACATTCATTTTTATTGATCATAAAATGTGGGATATAGACCGACCATGAGCTCCGAGGATCTTTACTGATGATATGTGCTTCTGTCAATACGTTAATGTGATTTAAACGTCATCTTTTAACACAAAATCGCATTTAATTGCCAAATAACCAATAATCCTCAAGAGAGAGATCCACCAAAGTTGTGGTTACCATTACAATGAAAGCACTGGACCACTCCCATGAAGCACCATTATCTCCCAATTTTCATGGAGAGAAAACAATCAAACAAGACAGATTAAAGTACAATAAGTCAGACAAAAATAATGTAATAAAAACATAAAATACCTTTCCCGGTGAGACCTTTCCTTTGCCTAATGATATTTAATGAAAGCCCAATCAAATGTGTTTAATAGACAATGAAGTCTTAAAGTTAAATGGGTCCTATGAGAAAATACACAGTATTTTATGCAACAGTTAAGTGGCTTACCTCCTCCAGCACATCCGCTAGCTTGCTGAGTATTTCTTCTGAAAGGCCTTGGAATGTCGGAACGCTGTGAAAAAGATGAAGCGCAAATGTGAGGTTTTATGAGCCAACAAAGCTGTTTCCATCAGGTGCCAAAAGATCATATCTAACCAGCAGAAAAACAACTCATGTGTCAGTTTTAAAAGAATGGCTAAAAAAGGGGTCCATCAGTATTATGAAATTAATTAATTCATATCAGAAATTAACTCAGAGATTTGGAAAATTCTATGAAATATATGAAAGATGGTAAATGAACAGGGTAAATGCACGCAAGAAACTGACAAGCACAATTTTGCAATCTCAGAAATAATGCCTTAGGTTGAGGTGTGGGTGGACTTCTCATGAGTTTTCATAAAAAAAAAGCTGCCAATCATTTTAAATAGCTGGGAAAAACCAGTCAGGCAGAAAGACCTTTACTAGAAGAGCTCTCGGTAGAACAAAATAAAAATAAAAAAACCCTCAAAATTAAAATGTGATGTTTTTTCCAGATTTAAATCAACTAGGGAACATTAAAGTCAACATACAAATCAAAATTGACTATTTACCTAAGTTGTTATGCCTCTAAATCTTGAAATGTTCACCAAGTGACGTTGATCCAATGAAACTGATAGAGTTAGAACATAACAAAGGGTAAATATGCCAAAAAAAGATGCATTTGCATTTTTGATTTGCCAGAAAGGCACATGTAGTTCTACATTTCACTGATGAGTGAATGTGGACTTTAACATCTGAAGCTCCTGAGAGGATAGACCACAAATGAAGATTATTTCTGCAGTCACATTCTCAGAGCACACATAGACATCTAAAGCTTCCTTTAAAAGTCAAATCCATGTCTGTCCCTTGACATCATCAGCCATTCGTTTTCCAGTAAAGCTGGTTTGGGGCCTCTAGGAAATGTAATTTGCAAAATGGCATTGTTTTGTGTCGCCAGACGCTTTGGAGTCCATTATTTAATGATAGTTTTTTTTTTTTTAAATGAAACCAAACCTGACCTCTTAGTTCAAGGATTCAATAATTCATTACACATACAACTATAACATTATCTTCTTTCTATTTTCAGATCACAGAAGATAGCTAATGGTACACTGAAAAAATGTGAAAACACATATTGTCCAATCATATTATTTGTGATCTACACACAACACAATTGCGATTCTCTTCTAAACTGGATGAAACTCTCTTCACATCCTGATAGCAATCAATAGTAGAAGTGGTCTAAATATTACAAAATGGAAATATATCTTCTGTGGAAGTCTCAGGACCAAAAATATTTTGTCCAATCATTGCATTCGGTCGAGAATTGCCATTTTTACACTGAAAGAGGAATATCTTGACAATGAATGGTCTGGTAATCATCCACTCAGAACACCCTAGCAACCATCAGAACATCTTAGCAACTGCATAGCGACACCCTGGCAACCACAATTCCCAAAAGCAAGACCCTACCCTAGCACAGTGGTTCTCAACGAAAAGCCGAAATTAACTCAATTTCTTAAAAGATTTCTTGCTGGAATTTATTTTCAAGTAAGTACCATTTCTTTTCATTTGTAAAGCTACAATAGCGTCTTCAGCTAGTCAGCTTGAGATCCTTTCCATCTAAACTATATTTCTTAAGCCTAGTAGTGAATGTTTTATGAGCAGTAGGACAATCTCTTTCTCTTTGGGCAGAACATCAGTTATTAAAAAATTGTTGACCAAATTAGGCATATTGACCATATTAGACAGGCAATTGTCATGATAACAACTTTGTAATGTCATTACTTTAAAAATATCAATGTTTCCAATTAGTCAAAACAACAGCATAAAATATGCACTTACATGCTCAGATGACATGATGCCAGAGATGAGACACAACCTAAATAATGTCCATCCGCAAAATGCATATGCAGCTTTGTTTTTCAACCGCTAGAGGAGCAAAAGTTACATAGTGTACCTTTAAACTAAAAATCAAGATATTTCTTGATTGAACTCACACCCTTATAACTTTTCTCTCTCTTAAGAACAAGGATGCCCAAAGGTCTTGGAAAACCTGGATATATGGGGAAGTCTATTTTTAAAAGTGAGACTTCTAGACCTGAAAAAGTCATGTAAATCAACTAAATCTTATAATGGGCATTTTATAGTGAATTTACATTTATGCCAAACTGTAGAAATTGTGAGTTATATACTGTATATAAATCTGGTAAAATCAGGAACAGCTGTAAAAGTCATGGGGACTTTGAATATTGTTGTGGACAATGGAGGACCTTGGAATGAAAAAGTTGAAAACCACTGCCCTAGCACTCACATTTTCACTCAGAAACACTGTAAAATGTAAAAAATATACTTTCTACTTACAATTCATACTAAAATATGAATGCAATCCATTAATGCATCATGTGTGAATGCAATTTTTATGGCAGACATTAGACTTGTCAATATATTATATAATAAAAATAAGAATGTTCTACTAAAGCAAAGCTATTCATAAACAGCTCATGGCCAAAAATCTATATTTTCAGGCAAAGATTGTGGAAGGAGAAGAATTACTCAAACGAGCAGAGTGAATGCACAAACCAACAGCACTCTAATCATTATCTGCCCTCTACCTCCGTCTAACCAACACACATTTCACTTTCCTCAGAACAACACTTGATTAGAAACATTTGAGAGTAATATGGCATTTCACCTCCCAAAATATTACAATCAAAACTCATCACCCGGGAGATTAGCGATACACAGCAAAGGACACCGAGTGTAAAGCCGGAGTTACCGGAGATTGTGTAACCATTCACTCGTGTGTTATTCATTCACAATGAAAATCAATTTATTTTATTGTATACTGCTGCGGGATAGACTTCTTTCATCAGGGGTTAGGAGAGGATAAATAGAAATGAAAGGAGAATCAGCCCACCTCTTCAGGAACTCTGTGTACTCTGCATGCTTGATGAGTCCGGTCCTCATCATGATGGTCTGGAAACACTGGCGGTCGATGGCCCATAACTTCACATTTGTGAGGGCTGAGAACAAAATATGAAACGAAATAAGTAAATAATACCCACACTCATGCGGTCGTCATTATATAGCAATGTAGCAGCACAATGTCCCCTCAATGGGTCAAATCTTGAGCTTCATAAAAAGACTAATTGATATATTGTATTCCTTTATCATTTAGTCTAAATTATATACGTGTGCGTGTGATTGTGTGTGTGTGATTGTGTGTGTGTGTGTGTGTGTGTGTGTTGCTGTCAAATTCATTAATCGTGAATAGTTGCATCTAACATAAAAGTTTGTTTACATGATATATGTGTGTGTTATTATATATATATACATCTGTGTGTAAATATATAACAATATATACAAGCATATATATTATATAAACACATTTTTATGTTTAATGTGATTAATCACGATGAATTGATTTGACAGTATACATATATATATGCATACACATTATGATTAACATAACACATTAAAGTTAAAAAGAGGTCAGGTTAAAACGACATTCTTTAAGGAAAGATCATTTATAAAGAGAGTTTTATTTTTTTTTATACAATAATATAAAATATTATGCATCAGGATCTAACAATATCGTCTTTATTCTTAGCATTAGTAGCCTAATATTGATGTTGCATTGCTCACATAAGTCATATTCACACAGTTGAGCTTCGCTGACGATCATTTCTCAATACAGACACACTTTACGTGTGTTAAAGGTCCCATGTGAATCAAATTTATAATTGAAAAAATGTTTTTTCTACATCCCTGCATGCTACAAATCAACAGAACAATTTTTTTTATGTCAAATTAGGGAAATGCTCTAAAATAAAAATGTCAAGACATTAACTTTGGAAGCTCTAATTACTGCACAATTAGAAAGTGCCAAAAGTAATTAAAATGTGTCAAATTAAAAAACAAGCAAAATAATTTTAATAAAAAATAATTTTAAAATAATTTTAATAAAAAATCATTTTAAAATAATTTAAATAATTGTTTAAAAAAACATTTAAATTAGCCTTCATCTTATACTTCCTAAATTATTCATAGAAGTTGGGTGATTAAACCAATAAAGATCATGTAAACAAAGTAAATCACTTTTCAATCAAAAGAAACAACCCATTTGCAGAATTGATTTGCAGAAACGTTCCATTTTACATTCCCCATCATGTAAACCTCAACAAAAACAAAAACCTCTATCATCATCTTTTAGGGACATTGTCACTAATTCTGTTCCAGCCCAATTGATTTTGCAGCCTTGAAACGCTGTCAGAGCTTGAGAGAAAAGGCACATTTGTCTGTGGTGACAGAGGCAAAAAATGGTTGTCACTCAACGACATTACCAATATCTAACTTGCCTTCAGGAAAGGGCAATTGCCAAAAGTTTTGAAGCAAATGCCCATCGGGCCCTCAAAATGTGACAGGTCTATGCCAGAAATTAGCATAAACCTTCAAAACAGCTATAACGTTGAGTGCTCACTGGGCATGGGCCCACATTATATGCCTTAAACGCAACACGTTCCTCTGCGTGTTCAGATTTTTGAATGATAAAGTGTGCAAGTGTGGATTAGAATATGCAGCAATGCAGAAATATCAAGATTAGCATGTTGTTATGCTTTTTCAAACGTCCAAAGACTATACGCTAACACTGTAAACATCTGCAGGTTATCAGAAGAACAATCTACTAAAACGCTCTTGTGCTTGTAGAGACCGGAATGATGGCACATCTACGGATGCAAACACATCTCATGAAATAGCAGAACAAGTGTTTCCCACATAATAAACCCTCATTTAACAGGAGCACGCATCATTTGCACCCTCATGCAGCGAGCGCAAATGATGCTTGCACAAGAAATACTTCACAAAGGACCATTTTCAAAAAAAAAATGCACACTCCCTGGTCATAGCAACAGCAAGGGCCACATTAATACACTCGCCTATTTTCTCAGTGAGAGTGTTGTGTTTTAATGGTTTTAGTCTTGACCAATTATGATGGATTTATTTATTATATTATACTGTATGTCTTGGCCAATTATTATTTCCTGTGTGAGTACACTGTGTGTGCGTTCGAATACACTAAACCAATTACAAGCTTGAAATGTTCTGGATTTTGTATAGCAACCTTTAAAATCAGCACATATAGTTCTCTACAGATGTCAAATAAACATTAGGCTGGGTGATTGATCAAATATTTAAGGTATGTTATATATTTTTGTGTTGACTGTATAAATATGAAGAATATTGTGATGATTTTGTATAATACAAATGATGACTTTTTTAATTATCAATTAATAATTAAGCATTTAAAAGACCTCGGTACTCGGTACACATCATCAAAAGGATGGAAACAATGAGATATTAAAGTCCCCCTGAGGTGAAAATCAAGTTTTTAATGCTGTTTATATGTCTATGTGGTGTTTTTAATATGCTTTAAGACAAACCATGTGCAAATTCATAAGTCAGCACCATTGCTGAGTAAGTTCTCCTTAAAACTGCAGTGAACCAAAGACAGTCTCAAAAACCCGGTTTGAAATCGCTGGTGTTTCTGACGTCACAAACTACCTTGTAACCAATCACGTCAACGTGTGTTCATCAACGAGTGGATCTCTGAGCTGGTGCGAGTGAGTGGAGGCGGAGTGGAGTGGAGGCTCATTTGCATATTCATTGAACCGTGTATACTAAATGAGGCAAGGGTGTAGAGATACATCCAAGCCATTTTAAGGCATGAAGAAATGTTTTCAAGGAAAAAATGCTTTTGGTGATCAAAGATGAGTTTTACAGAATGCAATTATTGACAAAAGGGGGACTTTAATGTTTTTTTAGCAATACTGTAAACCCTTAATTGCCATTACCAACTTTTTAAGAGATGGTAAAGAAAATGATAAAGTTTGAGAACCACTGAGAGCAGTGCAAGCAAATATAATTGGCAACCACACTTGACGTGAAAAGTGGCCTATACTGTATATAATTCCAATTATGATGCTGCTTTTTTGGAAAAATGTGAATGTCAGTGAAAGCAAAACTCAGAAGTAGCCAATATAAGAATCAGGATTAGAATAAAACACCTCACTGAACAATTGCAGACAGGATAATTTGACTAATTTCGATACAAATAAACAGAATGTTGCCGCTTGGCTGCTCTTGGACTGGGACGTCTTGTTTAATCTGAATGTGCTGCATAGCTTTGGGATTCCATTTATCCATGAAGCCAAATCAAAACCACTTCCCAACACCTTATTAAATACTGGCTGAGTGCTTCCTCTGTCTCCGCTTTTCACTGGGGGAGCAAAATGCAAAACGTCTTTATGGTTGTCTGTCTCTCTGAGTGGTTTTGATCACGAGCCATGCTGTTGTTTCTGTCATTCGTATCCGGCAAACCCTCCACTGGCCAGGGAAAGTCTATTTCAGTTTAACCTTAACACTCTGATTATGTAACACAAGCTTCTTTTTGATCCCTTGTCATGACGTTCATTAGCGGGATGTTGATTATGCAGTCATAAACCTAACTGAGATGCTAAGAATGAAGAGTAATGATCAAATGCTCTTTGATGCTCTTTCATGAGAGGGTTTGTCCTACCAGTGTGCTTTTGGACAGGTGTGCAATTATTCTATATAAATATATCATTAGCTGTACAGAACTCTTCAGTGCCTCATGGTCCAATTGTACAAATGTTTTATAAGAGGACGTCAATGAGATTCCATTAAAAATCCTGAACCCTTGTAACATTGTGGCCTAACCGGGTGTGACTTGATAAAGCGACAAGCATTAAAAGCTCTTAATCTCTTTCTTGTAGATTTGTTTTGATACAAAAATGTTAGAAGTCGATACTAATACCACTGGAATGCAATGATTCCCAATACTAATTTCAATACACAGCCAAAACTAATATGCTACTGAACACACTGCTTTAGGCTACTTAAATATTTACATGTATTTCTAAGTGACAAGATATTTTTATGGACACTTGGTATCATTATGCTGGGTAGCTCCGCCCACGTTGAAATCTCATTGGTCGAATGCTGAAAAGAAGGCAAAAGGCCTTCTTGGTACTTGGCACTCTTCTCGGAACTTGGTACACTCAAGTTCGAAAAACATAATTACAATGTGAAGAGCATTCAAGACATTATGGTAAAATGGTAAATGGGGTCATTTTGGCTATTTCATGTGTTTATTTATTTATTATTTACTTACTGACCACAGAGAGATTTCTGGCTCCAATGCAACCTGCCAATGTGAAGTGCACATTGATATTTTATAAGGATTTCTGTTTATGCACAGAGAATATAGCTTGGTTACACAAGAAGTGTGCCTTGGCAACTGGAATAATTTATGGTATTTTCTTGCAAGCTTGATTGCAATTCATCAACACCAGTATGCACAATGCAAACAAAATAAATAGTAGATTCAACATTCACAACAGAAGCCCAATTATGTCTCTGCAAACTGACACGCTGCCAAATTTGTGGCTTACAGCAAATCTCGAGATTCCCTCTAATAATTATGATATCCTGTAGCTCAAACCGTAGAGCATGCCACTTCTACATGTAAGTCGCTTTGGATAAAAGCATCTGCCAAAAGCATACATTTTTACAGTATCTAATGTAAATAATATTGTGGTCGCATTCAAGCGTGCTTATTTGTGATCAGTCTCGCTCCACATAACTGTAAAGTTGCAACATGAAACGGAATTTGCAATAGTCTTTTGTAATAGTTTTTAATTTGCAAAAGTCTTTCCTATTGTGGCATATTTCCTAGTTAAACGGCTTCTCAAACAAGAGAAAAATGTAGGGCGGGGCTTGATTTTGTCCATCTGGAATTGATTGGATGGTTGTGGTTTGCTATTGGTCGGTCTCATGTGAGTGACAGGTTGTCCCGCCCTTGCTCCAAGAGGGAGGGGACGTTATTTTGATTATAGATTACAAGGGCACAATAATGATGTGCATGGATAAATCATTTAAAATAAATACTGCAATAATCCATAAATAAAAGTAATTTTGATTTCATGGTGATTTTAAAAATGAA